ATGTACGGTAACATATGCTGTGTACTGTAACATATTACATTTCTGTGTACGGTAACATATTACATTTCTACATGTATGTACTAGAAACATATGTACATTTATTTACATTGAGACTTGGTGCTTATCTCATACATCATGATGTTGTTTTCAATCAATGATCGTAATTTGGATTCCACATTGACTGTACTGTTACTTGTATAATATAAAAGCTGCATACTTGTGCAAAGGATAAGCATTGTTCTTTATGCATATCAAGGATAATTCACACAAAAACATTTATGAACATTGTAATTGTATAGGGGCACATTTGCCGTTAAGATCTAAACATTCAAACTAGATGTACTAAAAAATTAATGGTTGAATGATAAAGTTACAGCATTTATCTTTTGCAGTGAACTTTTACATTAGTCTTTGTATCACCTTTAACTCAATGGTTTTTAAGGTGATCTAAGAGAATTACAAAGGGTAGTAGTACAAGTGCCATCATCTAAGTGAGAGTAATGAATGAGTGAGTGTGGTAATTGCCTTGATTTGACCAATTTGAACATGTTTAAAGAAATTTTAACCAGGGTCCCTCCAAAAAAACTAAACCAAAAAATGGAAAATTTGGGGTGGGTGCGTTTGGAGTTTTAAGAGTTGACAAACATTATTCAAAGAAAAAACAAAGAAAACAAGAGAAGAAAAATAGAAAAGATGTCAGTCCATGAACACCATGCTGTCAGATGTTAGTGACATTAGGAGACCCCAGCCCAAAAGCAGCCGGACTGCGGCCCTGTGCAATGCAGTCCGACTGCTGAGGCTCCTGACATGGGTCTGGACTGGAGAAGGGAAGGAGGAAATAGAAGAAAAAGAGCTTGAGACAAAACTGAGACAAAAACCAATTTGAAACTGCTGAGACAAATAAGAGGTTAGGACAAACATGATTAAAAATTATTGGTCAGAAATGAGAAGAAATAAAATTGAAAAGAAAAGATGCCAGTCCAAGAACACCATGCTGTCAGATGTTAGTGACGTAGGAGACCCCAGCCCAAAAGCAGCCGGACTGCGGCCCTGTGCAATGCAGTCCGACTGCTGGGGCTCCTGTGGCATGGGTCCTGGACTGGCGAAGGCGAAGGGAAGGTAAGAACAAACATAAGTAAAAGAAAAATAAATTAGCATATAAAATCTAAAGTTTTAAACAAAATCCAAACTGACCCCCAAAAAGAAAAATTGATACAAATAAAGACTGACAATAATTTTCATTGTATTAAAATTTGTAGTTTAGTTTTGTAAAAAACAAATTGGCTCCCAAAAAATGGGTCCTAGAGGGCGAAAGGGAGGGAAGGGAAATCAACTTTATACTTCATGATTTTAAACATTAATACCTGAAACTTCCCCCAAAAAATATACAAATAAAGACTTTTAGTCATGTAGAGTCTTGTGTTGGGAATTCACTTTAAACTTGTTTTATGAATTTAGAGTTTTAGAAGTACCCCGTCCAGAAACACCATGCCGTTAGATGTTAAGGGAGACCCGGTACCGGCAAAGCAGACCGGACTACTGCCGGTAAAGCAGTCCGGTCTGCTGGGGTCTCCTGGCATATGGGTCCTGTTTGGGATTTTAAGAATAACATTTCTGAAATTTTAAAGAATTACAAATTTTGTATTGGACAAATTTGCACACTCACCCACCCTTCATTGTCGATGATAATTAACTGACTGAGATGTGGCTTACATTGTGCAGTAAGACTCTACAATGACAGTGATAATGGCTGATATTTGAAAACCCATATCTGCTATTTCTTGTTGTAGATTGAATGGTGTTTGTACATATTTGTATATAGTGTGTTTCTGTGTACTTTTTTTAACCAATTGTAAACATTGAAATGTTCACAAAATCTGAAGTGAGCTCACTATAGCTGTAACAAATTACATCAATCACATTGGTCTACATGCATATACATGTTATCTAACAGTCTGACAAGTAAAGACTACACTGTCAAGTTTTACCTCACATAATGATGCCAATATTACAGTGATTTCTTTTTTTTTGTCTTCCCTTGAATTCCCCAGGCATTAAACTAACAATCAGTAGCCGCTCACGTAATCGGCTGCAAACCCAGTCCAGTAGACAACCTTTGGTGTGGGCTGCTCTGTGGGCTCGGTGGGCTCCTTCTTCTCCGGCTTCTCCCTCTGCTCTTTCAGAAGCTGGTACTACAAAAACAGTGAACAACAGAAATCAGTCTCAGTTCTGATCTGTTGCAAATACTTGCCCGAGGGCTAATTGCAGTTACAAACAACATAAGAAAGAAAATACAGCGGTATATCTACGTCTAGCATTATACTATATTCTACAACATACATGGTACTAGTTTTGCTGGGTTTGACTTCTTCATATTGTGCATGCACAGTTGCTGCATAATCTGTTACCTTAAGTTAATATAATATGTATGAGATCTAGTCATGGGAATTACTGGTAGAATGAAACGTTACTCACCAGGTGAAGGCCTTCAACGCAGAGAGCGCCGCTCGTGGTATAGATGGCCAGGTTCACCGCTGCCTTCTTCCAAACTGGAAGGAAAGTACACAAACTAATTGTAAACTCGCCTGAAACCACAATATGTTTCAGTGGAAGTACAGCACACATGAGAGCCTTTTGAAAGTTATGAAGGACTAATTAATAAGGTTTGGGTTCAATGTTCAGGTCACCAGGTGTAAGAAGTCTAAAAACCATGTAATTCAAACTTAAGCCCCTGAAAAATTAGAGCCTCAACTGAGATAGAGATTGTTTTGACATGGGAGTAGAGCTCTAGAAAAAGTTCTTAACACATACAGAATCTTAGCACTTATCTATTGATTCTATACTGGCCAGAAAAAAACAAACAAACAAACTACAGCATAACAGGAGATCTAGAAGAAGAGACCATCTTACCAGGATTCACCGTGAAGGTACTGAAGTTAGCAAATGCCTGAGCAGGTGGGACGGTGCCCAAGAAGCCGCGAACGGCCATCCTGCCCAGGCTGAACATTAGGTTCTCTCCTGGGGAAGAAAGAAACAGATTTCTTAAACATTCATATATATATGAATAAACAGTAGTTGTAATTAGTGCTGTGTACCGGTTCACTGGACCAGTTCAGGACTTGTAAAAATGTTTAGGTTCAAGTAAAATCAAATTTAAACTTTAGGGTTTTTTTTCAATGATGATTCAATAACCGATTCCGTAATGCAGTTTTGTACATGCCATGGGTTTAGGTCCGGACTCGAACCTAAACCTCTGGACTTGAATCCAGACCTGAACCTAAATGTGGCTGTACTCAGCCTGTACGTCAGCACTAGTTGTAACAGTGTGGATGAAACAGCCATCTTACTATGACTACATCTGATTATTCAATAAACCTATTCCCTGACATTATCATTAGTTAAGCCGCTAAGATTATGGGGGAAGTTCTGCTGTTGATAAAGCGTAATTTACGAAGCCCCCCTCCCCACCACCGCTGCAAAGCTAGCGAGTCAATCGGGTTGTCTGCCTGTGTAGATGTGTTGACTGTGCGGTTAGTTTACTTACTGACCTCCCTAGCGTTTCTGTACTTCGTTTGCTGTGCCAACAATCACGAAAGGAATTCTTTATGAATCATTATGACCTACAGAAAATTCCTAAGTCAACTGCTCGGTAAAAAAAAAATTTCTGGCCCTCCCCCAAAACCACCCTTGGATTTCGTCGGAAAAAAATACTACAGATCGCGGAATTTTCACCTAAAACGTACGGTAAAACTCCGGTAGTTGTTGCTAGAAATGCCTGTGAATGTTTTAGGAATATCGTAATATCTGTAAAACTTACAGAACAGTTGTTGATTCAGTCACAGACACAAGAAGATTTCTCGGAGCTCTGTGGCACGGTCCAACTTCCTTGGCGGTCGGAGTGCAAATGGTGCAGATCTCTGCTGATTCGTTGCTAAGTGCGCTGCGCGGAGTCCACTTCTTTTCAGGCGGGGGTGAACGTGGCAATTCGGGAACAATTTTCACCACGTACGGATTGTTTTGACGTTTTAAAATCACAGTTAGTGTTATATGTCTTTTGTAAAATTATATAAAAACTATTAGTTTTGCACTATGAATAGTTCCTGTCTAAATGTTCTAGTTGTCAAGAAATCTAAGTTACCTACGGAAACAAATGGAACGTTCTAAAATTTACATATCCGGAGATTCCCTAGCAACGGTGCGGCGGAACCGCGAAATGTAAACACAAGCCGACGTGGGGAGGGGGGCGAAAATTTATTATATATCTAAAAATTCTATGCCACTTTCACCACAAATAATAGTCAAGAAAACGGAAAGAAATCAAAGATACACCAAAAAGATGAAAGCTCTACGGAGTGAAATAAAGTAAAACAGTATCTTTATTCGCGTCAAGCTGTGGTAATTCGTGTATTCCACTATTTAACTCCCTGTTGCGCTTTACATTTCTTTGGCCGTGCCGGTGCCATTTTATCTTATCTTAATTCTACCTTTTGTTCCGAGACTTGAACTCGATAATCTTTACACATCTATGGTATGTGGAAGAAAAGTTGTTGTTGTTGTCCTTGTTTAACGCCTGGACAATGATCCCAACTCTTACTAACAACTCTAACCCTAACTCTAATACCAACCCTAACGTTAACCCTAACCCTAGCCCTAAACACCTGACCTCTCACGTTTCCAATATACTAGTACCTGAGACAAGGGGTGGGAGGGGTTTTGATGTGGGAGACTAAACCTAACCTAACCTAACCCTAAGTCTTACCCTAGTCCTGAACAATCATCCCAACTCTAACCCCAGCCTTACTCTAATACCAACCCTAACGCTAACCCTAGCCCATCTGACCTCTCACGTATGTGGCAGTGTGATGTTGGTGGCATTTTATTATAAATTCACGTAAAACATAAACTTGAAATTAACTAGATAGTACGTAGTGATGACTAAAAATCTTACATCTGTACCATTCATAACAACAAACTAGTAGCGTTAGATGTAACTTAGACATTTATCTGTCTTTTGTGGGGACGCCAAAATTGAGTTCTTGCAAAAGTCTGGTCCTCTTTTCAGCTTTCCAGTTTCTCCAAACGGTGACCACACTTACTGTCATCGAGCCTGCAAAAACAAGAGCTCCGCCCGCAAGCTTCAGTGCACCGGGAGTCTTAGATAGGACGAAGTAGTCGAGAACAATGGTGATGGGCACGGTCATCACACTGATAGCCATGGCCACGCCTGCATTTTCTAAGTACATGCCGCAGTACCAAAACACTACCGAAAGCACGTACGAGACATTCATGCCTACGAGGTAAGCCGCAGCTTGCCACGACATCTTCCACACGGGTGTTTCTAAAACGTGCGACAGCGCGGGTAGGTAAAGAGTTCCCGTCGACGAGATACCGAGTAAAAGGACCAGAACGTGAACATCTTGCCGGCCAAGGAGATACTTGTCGAACACGGTTAAGGGCGACCCTACGACGGCCGCCAAAAGTGGGAGAGCGAACGTCAAAACGTTCACGCTGATCCGTTTTCCAGTCCCGAACATGAGATTGTATCCGACGGCAACGACGCCGACGACGTTCAGGAATATCCCGAAGAAGTCCAAGAGTCCGAGAACTTCTCCGAGAAGAAAAAAGCTGATGATGACCGTAAGAATCGTCTCAGTTCCCCGGCGTATGGTGTAGGCTATCCCAGGGACCGTGTAGGTGAGGGAAATGAATACAAGTCCTTGCTCCAGATTATGCCCAGCAGTGATGAGAATTAATACCGCGATCTGTTTGCAGCTTAGTGCCGACAGTTTCGGTCGGAAGACCGGCCAAGCGATGATCACCAGAATCAGGAGGGACAGTCTGTTGAGAAACAGCATCTGAAGTCCCGGTATTCCCTCGTTGCTCGCGAGGGTGACAAACTCATTGGACAGGCTGTCAAAGGTGGCGGACAGTAGCAGGAACAACACACCTACCCACGATCTGGTGCCTTTTGTGTCGTTACTTTCCATGTTCTTTCATTCGCCGGTCTCTGCTGCGATCAACACTGGAAAAGAAGGAAAGAATGAAATATAGCTAGCATGGGAGAACTAGCAATAGTAGCATTATCCTAACTAGAACTTTTCACTAAGCATAATCGTTATGTTGTCGTTATTCCGGCGGAACAAACAAAGCGCTTTGAGAAATAATACTAGCCTTAAATGCCTCGGGCTACTTTGTACAGCAAATTTAGTAGTCTGTTAACAAAATGCCAGAGTTGTACATACGGTTTGCGATTACTCGTCTGTAGAGGTATCTTGGTCGAGAAAAGTTGTCACATGGTTGATATGCCACGTCGATGACGGCAATGTTTAATGTCACAGGTGTCCACCACACTCCTACCACACGTCCCTGTTAAAGCCACATCATCAGTTAGTATTTTGCGCCCTTCCTCTTTCTGCTGAAGACCTAAGCTGCCAGATATCCACATGCATTGAAGGCCTGACGTCTCGATTAAGTAAAGTAGTAGTAGTAGTAGTAGTAAGCCTTTATTTAATCTCGAATGCTTGTTCGGTACATACCGCTTTTCAACAAGGTCGAGGGTGAGGGCGGGGTCACGGAATTACAGATCAAACCAAAATATAATACAAAATCAAAACAAAATGCAAATCAAAATATAATACAAAAATAAATAGCAAATCATCAGTCCGTTATCAGTCCAAGTTCCTTGTCATACTTCTAAATGTTCCCAATGACTGGGCTGCTCGTACATGTGGTGGCAAGGAATTCCACACAGTCGCCCCCGAGTACCTCAGTGACCGCCTGTACACTGTAAAAGGACCTAGCCTTTAAAAGGAAATTAAAAAAAAAAGATGACGTACCGATGTAGAAAAAAGGGACGAAATCCTTAGTTTGAGTCTCGTATCTGAACAAATGGAGCGGAGTTTCAATGGTCCCTGCTCGGTACAGACCTGTGTTCACACACGTTTTACCAGTCGTACCACTTCCGTCATAGAAATTAAAAATTTGCATATATAAGGTCTGTATCAGATCAGGCGGGTAATTATCACCAAGTAGGGCGTGATGAGAAGAACTCGGAGAAACGTAACATTTCCAAAGCACTGGATGCACAGCACCAGTCATCTTGGTGACAGACGTCTGGTCCAGGTTATGTTATCGACTTTGTTTCAAGAACTAGCTGTGGAGTGCCACAGTCTGTATTTCATCATTACAAGTGTCAGATCAGTACTGCGGCTCGAGCTCCTGAGATAAACATATAATTACTACTCTCATTTCGGCTACACCAGCATAGATCATACCCCGGGGCTGTCATATTACACGAACCAGAACAACTGGTGCTCTTCTAACGGCAGCTAGCATCCTGTGCGGGTGGGTGGGAGTTTTGCAACGGGTACAAACCTTCCAAATTTGGCGGCTGGTTGTAAGATGGCCGGCAAAAGAACGCGATAAAATTTTACAAAACGCAATATCAAACTCCCACCCGCCCGGAGGTCTACACAGGAGGCTATTCTATTAAAATTGGTCTCGACAAATTTTGCATCGAAGAGTCGTCTCATGTCATTTTTATACTTTGGTCTAATCGTAGCCTGTTACCAAATAAAATGTGTTATGTTGGTTTGTGGTTCCTTATTCAAGTGCAGGGTATTGTTACTCTACTGCGAAAGATGAAATTATACATGAGCCTCAACCTGGCAGAGGCTATAAGATGGAAATGAGATGGGAATGTTTTTTTTTTAAGTTTATTATTTGCTTGTCTCCTTAGTAAGTAGCAAGTGTATTAAGTGTAGGTATGCATGTAGTCTCTTGAAAAGTACATGTAGTTACGTGAATAATACAGTGTAAGAAGTGGCCATAGAATTCCTATTTGCAACCAAATTCATGATCTTATTTTGTATTTCCGCATATGCCGAATCCCCTTTTGTTTGCTGACCTGCAGTACCAAGCAGTACCGCATGTGGCGTTTTGTTTCCCAGCATGCATTGTACCCCAGCGTAGGAAAAACGCCGCCATGCCGAAGTAAGTGGTTCATCTTTTGTCGTTTTCTGCCCCAAATTCTGCTTTATTTCCGAAAAACAGACATTTCAAAGATACGTTTTCCTAATTCTTAGAGCACAGATGTTCGTCTGCAGAACTGGTTGAAGTCTCTATGTTTGAAATTGTTGAATTGTAAGCGAAAATCAGGACTGTTTTCACATGAGATTTTTGTTGTGTTTTGGGTTGGGGAGGGGGGCTTGATAAATTTTTAAAAATTTTGTCGATGTCTGACCCGACTTTTGCAATATTTCGGCCATATTAAGGACGTAGCCATTCCTCTGGGCATGAGATAGACGTTTCAATGTTTGAAATTGTTGAATTGTAAGCGGAAAATTATTAGCACATGAAAATTTGTTTCTGTTTTGGGGGTGGGGGTGGGGGGTTGGCATGGCCGTTTTGTGTTGTCTGAGATAATATAATAATCCATCTATGGACAAGTAAGACTTGTTCATTTCAACAATTTACTATGGTCAATGATATCTCAACCTCAATACGGTACCCTCGAATAACCCACATATGCCACAAGCTTACCTAATTTTCACAATTTTATAATTTTTTTTTTTTAGAGAAGGACTCTATATGTAAAGACTTTGTTAACCTCTTGCTCTGATGTTGAATCCAGGTACTTCTGTGACTACTGTGACACATACCTCACACACGACTCAGTAAGTATGACATCGTCTCTCTGGATCTGTACTGTTCAACCAGTAGAACTGTCCCATGGGCTAAGAGTCAGGCCTTAGTTTTACTGGCATGCGGTGCAGTCTTTCTGTATCTGTACTGTTGATATTCAACCAGTAAAACTGTCCCTTGGATCTAAGACATCAATTTCACTGGCATGCCATGCAGTGGCAACTGTTTATACCATACCAAATAAAAACTACATGCATCTGCATATCTTACTTACTTACACCGGGCTTTGCTCAAAGCTTTCCAGTACATGTAGTAGTGAGCATAGACCTTCCCTACTTGCATAATGTAGCATGATTATCACAATTACTTGCTTGTTGTATGCATCTTGGACTCTCCAGATGTACAGGAGCTACTGTGAACTCTTTGACCAATTATGAGTCATCAACTGTTTTTGACATTTTAAGCACTGTCTACCCCCTCTTATACAGCCATCGGTGAGAAAAACCCACTGCAATGGCAGAAAGCACAAAGAAAACGTGAGAGTGTACTACCAGAAATGGATGGAGGAGCAGGCACAGCAACTCATCGACCAGACAAGTAAGTGTTTATTAGATGCACAGCACCTCGAGTCAGGAACAGTTGCAGGAGGGTCCAGTGCCAAACATTCCTCCGAAATAAAAGTTAGACTTAAATTCATAAAGATTTGATAAAACATGTTTGTTATCATGTTACTGCTGTTTTTATATGAACAGCAACTCTTAGGCTAGATATGAAATCCTCATGGTTTGATAAAGATGGAACAATACGATAAAACTGTGCATGAATAAGGCAAAAAGACCATTTTTGTAGGAAAACACAGGTAACACTTAGGTACAGGGTGGCTTTGTATCTGCACTACCGTTCAGCTAGTTGGACCAACGCAATAGGCCCTGATTTTGTCCAGTCGCAGTTTGGAATTGGTTTGTCCATTCTGACTCTAACTGTGCTCATGATCAGATCAGATGTGATAAAGGGTGGGATGTTCCAGGGAGTGGTTTGGCACTGGGTCTCCTGCTGAATGTCGTTGCTCTGTGATCAGTCTGTCCTCCACTGTTGATATCTCAGTCTATCTACATCTGATGCACCTGTCATACTCATACTATAGTCATAGTCATGCTGTCTAGCCTGTGTTACACAATCTCTCGCTGTCAGGGCCTCCTCCCAAGAGCTTGTGGCCATACACCTCAAAGTCGAGAGAACCGTTCCCATTCCTAAAACTACTAGTACATGTACCAATTAGGAGCTCAGGATTCTTCATCACTACATGAAAGTTAGTCCAATAGCAGCTAAGGATTCTCTGTCACTATGGAAACCAGACATCACAGCTTTTTTCCAACACCATTGTAACCAATATTTCTCACTCAGTCTGACAAAAATTGGCTCATGTTAGCACAGAAAAAGCTGTAACAAAGAAGAAAAAATGTGACACTCAAAATGCAGGAAATGGTGTTTCAGAGGGTTGGGTTATATAGTTTCAAAATTTTGCACAGCTGAAGAAGACTTCACTGTATTCTTGTGGATGTTCCCAACTCTCCTGACTCAGAGGTGTTGGCCATCAAGCTTTGTTGAGGAGCCTGACCAGTGAGAGAGAGTGATGTAGTCAGGCTAACTAACACCTGTCATAACTCATAACCACGCTGTCATGTCTGGTAGGTAAAATCATCTCCAATCTCTCCTCCTCCTCCTGCATAGCGGCTGCCTTCCAGGCGGGGAAAATCCCAAACAACCCTTTCCCTAACGCTGCCGGGCAGGCCGCGGGGAACGAACCAGGGGCTAAGGTTCTGCCCCCGGCTATCCTGCAAGGTTAGATTTAATCTTGAATCAAACCTCAATGATCTGGGAAACCGTTTTACACATCCTTCGGGGTAGCACACGTACAGCACTCAGAAATGACTAGCCTTGGTTAGGGCATCATAGTGAAATATAGGATAGTACGCAGTATGAAATTAGAAAAGAATCTGCCAGGGGGACATACAGACCTTACATATACTACATAGATTCATGTTTTTTCATCTTTCTTCTTCTACAATCTCTGTGTTGATACCACCAAACTGAATAAAAAGAACATTACCAATACCAAAACTGAGTTATAAACACAAAGACTTACTACATGTACTTACAGTATTTAGGAATTTTACTAACCAGGAACCACTTACACCCTTTCTACAAGAGACACACAAAATACTAGCTAGTAAACATTTAGCTGGTATTGTTCTTTGTATCAGTTTGATTTTAAATCGGTACAATGCAACAATCAAATTAGAAATTAAAACTTAAAAGCCAAACTAAAATTCAGAAAAAAACTCAAGAATTCTGATTCTTGAGCAAGCATACCATACCTACACTACAGAAACTTACACCTCTTGTATGACACATAGTTTCTAACTCATATTATCTTCTTCTCCTATTACTAGACTAGTTCATGTTACTGCTCTGAAGCACTTCTGTTCTGTATTGTCTCACTGAAAATCCAATGTTCTAATCTGTCATTTGCCTTTTTCCAAGCGGCTGTATTCAAGGCAGGTAAGGCAACTGTTTCTCTTTACTAACTCCTTCATTCCCCCAGATTTCCACACAGGTAAGCTTTTCTACATTCTTCCTTTTAGGAGTCGTTTCTTTCTACATTTACTCTTACTGTGCTGTCCAGGGGTGAAGAGAAGGGAGGTTAGAGCGCAGGAGAAAGATGTTTTCTTGTAGGCCCCCCTTTGGAATTTTGGAACTCATTTTAGAAAGGTAGATGTCCTACATGTTTTGACTAATCTGTGAGCTCTTTTCGTCTTTTACAGGCATCGCGGAACAGAAGAGTAGGTCTTTGAAAGGGGAAAGTTTTATCTTTACTTCAGAACTTTTTGACTACATTTAATGATACGCGTCTTCAAATTATTACCGATAGAAAAAGCACCTGCTGTACTTTGCAGTAATTTTGGCTTGATCTTGTTTATTTGATTGTTGCATAATGCATGGAAACTGCAAAAGTTGTTTCAGAACTCCAACAAGAGAGGTAACATCTGAATGGTTGGTGACATCTTCAGAATTCTTACATCATCACAGTTGTTGCTGACATCATCAGAACTGTTGCTGACATCATCAGAAGTGGTGACATCACAGCAGTAACAGAATAGTTACTGACATCATCACGATTGTTGCTGACATCATCACGATTGTTACTGACATCATCACAATTGTTGCTGACATCGTCAGAATTCTTGCTGGCATCTCTGTTTTTTTCCAGCCCTCCCTGAAATCATCTGAAATGTAGCAGTCCTTCATAACATTGACTATTTTTAGTCTCTTAGCAGCATCAAGTTGGACGCCACTTAAAGAAAGAGTCCAGCAAACCTCAGACCTAAACGCACTACTGTAATCGCAACTTGTTTTCACAGCCGCCACATTTGCAAGTAGGCAGCTTAGCCACAGACAACCTGGAAGGTGGAACAAGCATCACATCTTTACTGCGTTTTGTAGCTATGGAAATGAAGTGAAATATGAACCAACAGTTTTAACACTGACCTGTGGTGTTTTCACAGCCTCTGCATTGCAGGTGGGTAGCTTCGCAACAGAGAGACTGGAAGGCAGGACAAGCTTCATGGTTTACTACGTTTTGTAGCTATGGAAGAGAAGTGAATCATGAACGGGCAATTTTAATGCAGTTCTTGTTGTGTTTCCACAGCTGACAAAATTTTGCAAGCAGGCAGCTTCGCAACAGCCTGCAAGGCAGGACAAGCATCACAGTTTACTGCCTTTTGTAGCTACAGTATGGAAGTGATTGAATGAATGATTAAACATCAGTTTTAACACAGTTGTTGTTGTGTTTCCTCAGCGGCTGCATTCCAGGCGGGTAAGATCGCAAGCAACCCCTTCCCCAGCAGCAGTGCAGGACCCGGCCCCCAGGGAGGGGGCACCATGATCCCCCCACCCCCCAGCCTGCAGGGCCCCGGGGGGCCGGGCACCGCCCCAGCACCACCCCGCATGCCCGGGCCGCTCCTCATGACACCGCCGCCGGGGGCCGCCGCACCGGGGATGGCACCACCCGGGGCTCCAAGTACGTACTGCAGTCACACTGGACTCTCTCTCACTCATTCCTGTTCCAAACAGCCAATCATATGTTTTATTACATATTCATCTATAACCATTCACTGTGTGTGTGTTTTGCCTTTTACACATAAATGTTTCAAACAAACACACAGAAGTGTTAACTGTAACACATTCTTGCACACTTTGTTGTTAAACTGAATGCATCTTGGTTGGTGTTTTTTTATACACCTTGTAGCCTAGAAACAATGTCACATTCTTCATTCACAACATAATTTTGTAAATGTGGCTTTTAAAGCATGGTTTGTTTGGTTCTTCACTTAAAGTTAAATTCTCTAGGTAGGGAGTGGTGTTACAGATATTTGTGTGAACTTTTTCATGGGTGGTTTTTACTGTATACATGTACTATACAAATGTTACAAAATTCATCATATACAGGGATTCTGATACATTTAGAATAGTTCAGATAAACATGTTGCAGGATAGATTAGTTAGTGGACCAAATGGGATGTAAGGGTCTTGTTGGGTCTCAAAAAAAAATTGAATACAGGAATTGCTTTGGAAAGTTTTGTAGCATGTAGAAAGAGACAAGCTTTTCTCCAGTATATGTGTGGTGAGTAGTGTTGTGCAAGCCAGAGGAACATGTTGAACAACTCATTGTTTGCACTTGAGCACAGATTTTTGTTGTAGCTGTAGTTTGCATGACACATAGTAACACAAACACAACTGTTTGTCTCTGTGAATGTGTACAAAATGTATCTGGTTGTTGTGTAGTGTGCATTTACTGGAAAACACACCGTACTGTACACATGCATACATGTACATACACACAAGTCATCACAGGTACTGTATTGTTCAGTTGTGGGTTCATGGTCCAGCATGCATAGTTTGTTTTGAGTGGTGTTCAAACAATGGTGGCTTGAACATTATGGAAGGCAGCATTGAGACTGAAGTTATTATAAAGTTCAGTTTTTTTTTGGCGAAGGATGAATGCTGAAATTATTTTTTATTTGGAAAATGCAAAAGGCATTTCTTGTATCTCTTTTATTCCTCGGCTGCTCAAATATTGTTTTTATTTGCACAAGATGAATGTTGGAATCTGTTTTTATTCAGAAAATGCAAAATATGTTTCTTGTATATCTTAACTTGACTGCTTGAAATCATTCTTATCTGTCTGAACCAAAAGAAAGTCTTAAGAGCAAAACGCAAAGTTATGCTTGCTTCTATGAATGTTGAAGTCTGATATAACTTGTGATTTAGAGAAACTTTGAAGTCCCTCCCAAGCCATGACAGGTTGGTAGCCAGATCCACCTTGCAGCTGTTTTGTGTACTGCAGCTTTAATCGGGTGTTTTGTGATTGATTTTTTGTGTTCTTTGATGGTGTGTCTAATCTGGTTTTGCCACGAGTTGATCTTTGATCCAGGGTTTGTTTGTTTGCACCTGTGTGATTAACCGCATGCCATGCAATCACCTCCTCCTTCGCAAGATCAACCCCTCATCATGCATGCCTCCACGGACTGCCACTGGGGCTCCTCAGCGTGATTTTATCTTGTTTTGAGTTCCCTCCCGATTTTAACCGTTGTTTTTTGAGAGACGTGTCTTGCCTTTGCAGCCCAGACGGTGGTATTGATATTATTATTTATAATCGTTGATGATCTGTTCTCCTAGTAGCAAATGTTGGAAAAGACACTGGTGTTTGAAAAGCTTGTAATCTTGTTTGATGTTTTGACTCCCAAGTTTGGCTTGTGCACCACAAGACTGGAGTTGCAAAACCCGAAGGTGAGAATTGTAACGTAGAAACGTCCCGAGATACCTCCTTGTGTCTTAATTGTTCCTCAGCATCTGTTGGAAAATATTAGAGGGTTTCAAACTCTTTGCAGGTTGTCTAGCCAACCTGCTATCCAAAAAGTTCCTTCTACAATGCTGAAAAAGTGCAGATGCTTTGGAAATTCACCTGTATGGTTCAAAACTTTACCATACGCACACAGGTGACAGTGACTACATTGTAGGTGGTATCTCGAGCACACTGTAAGGAATTTGCCATGTAGATATTAAACAAATTCCAACTACATCCAAACCAAATGTCAAAAAATATGCAAAACAAGAAGGGCAGCCAAAGAAAGAAAATCAGTTCCCAGTTTTTATTCAAATTTGACAGACAGTATTGAGAAGAAACATATCCCAAAGTGTCTTATCCAACTTCTACACATTGTAGTGCTAAATCCTTAGATATTTGATCACCATCCTTGCATGTTTCCTAACATCACAATCTAATTCTAAAAAAAGAAATACTTCTTTAGTATCAAAACACACTCTAAAAAATAATCAATAGAAAGAATGCATTTGAGTACAGTACGAAGCAGGTTTATGTATATGGTAAGAGGTAAGGATGGAAGGTAGGTATGTTGTTCTGGGTTTAGCTATGCTTTTGGATCCCTTGCAATGACTTGCTGGTTGTGTTTTATACTAAGATGATGTAAATGGTTTTAATATGAACTTGCAATTGTGTAATATGGTGATTTAGAATTAGACTTTGCAAGATTTTTTTTCCAATTGGCTGTCTCCTTACTTGTAGTGGGAAAGGAAATGACTTTGCTGTGTTAACTCTTGGTGTAGTATCTAACATTCATCAGTATACAAATGACCAATTCAAATTCTGCTACAATTCAGTAACCACCAGATATACATGTACTGTCTATATATCTCTGCCTGATTCAGCAAAAAATCTGATTGTTTGAGGTTGATAACTTTGTGAACAAAATCTTGATCACTAATTATGTTTCTGTAACCATTGTGATTCCCTTCATATTCAACTTTCTCTCTTAAATCTACTTGTGTTTGTGAAATATCCCAAAATATCTCAAAACTACATCTAGAAAAGATACGGCCAGATTTTCAGTAAACCAAAAGCCGATAAAAAAACTTGGTGCAAACAGAGAGAGATACTTTGAGTTTCAGTTGCACTGCAAAAATCTAACAAATTCCATAATTTGTAGCAAGTTGGTGAAATCCTAACAAATTCCACTGCAGATTATGGGTGAAATCCTAACAAATTCCACAGCAGATTGGTGAAATTCTAAGTAACAAATTGCTTGTCTCAAAATGTTGATTAACCCTGGTTTTGAGTCAGGGATGTCCATGTATAAGGTAAGGTTTCCCAGCATGCACCACTAACTCTCGCTTAATTGCACCGAAGTCGCCACAACGCACCGACGGGAGTGACGCAGGACGGGATCGCCGCTGGACGTCCGCCGCCTTAGCGTAAACCTTCTCTGTTTTTCTATTGATTGTCACCCTTCTTCCCACTACAGCCTTGCCTCAGCCTGCTCGCGGACCCATCTTATGTAAGTACTGTCAAAGAGAGAGACCAAAATTAAACTGTAGAAAAATGCTTCCAACCAAACCTGTCTGCCATTCTGAAACTTGTTTGTGTTGGCGCAAAAATTTTCCCAAATTACACTTGTACAAGTTTACTGCAAATTTGTAACAAACGTTACATTACCTTGATGAAGGTTAGACATCCAGGTAATGAGATACTAATACTAAGCACCTGAATAGATTTTGGGTTGCTTGAGGAACTTGGCAAATGTTACATTCTTTTAAAACTTAGTTACTCTGAAGAAAAAGCTGTAGCTTACTCCTAAATTCTGCCTCAAACATTTTGTTCAAAACGAAAGCAGGAAGGCCAATTTGTTTTTAAAAATCAAAACACTGGCTTTTTTTGTGTGGCACAACAAGTGCAGAACTTGCAGACAAGTTTTTACTACTAATAAACCCAAACAGAGGTCCAGGTAAGTATTAACACACCCTAGACATTGTCCGTGTGTGAAGAGGACGGAAGGATTTACGTGTTAGGTAAGGTAAGGTACGGTAAGGGGTAAGTATTTTATCCAAGGTAAGTTTCCTGCCCCTCCCCTCATCTGTGCAACCGCTCACACTGCCCAGTAATCTCTAATCACTCGCATCAGGTAAGCCTGAATCTGTGGTTGCGAATTGGGGGCTTGTGGGATCTCACACCAGAGTTTCCCAGGTAACATTGAACTTACAAAACCCTGTAAAGCTCCATGATTTCCTGAAAGTCATTCAGTTGTTTTCATGTATTATGTTTTGGCGACTTCTTAAAAAAAAGAGGCTGTTTCTTTGGCTTGAAACTAGAAAAAGAGTTCTATTCTGACCTTGTCTTGACATGGTTGAAACAGAACTTGTGAGAAGATGGAAAAGATGTTACCTAGTACTACTATAAAGCAGTTTTGCAATTTTATCCAAACTGGGACACTATTGCACTTCAAGTAAACTTCAAAAACAGGTTTACAGGGTTTTGTAGTCCTACTGTACAGGTAAGTACCAGATGTGGCCACAGCGTGTGTAATTTCTGCCGTGAGAGACTTAAACCCCGAGAGCCGAGCTGCGAGACCCGGCGGAGACTTGAGCATGTTGTTTACCCCTGTTTCCATGGTAACATGTTGACCTTGTCTGCCCTACAGTGGTGCCTGCCGGAGCCGTGAGACCTCAGATGTGTAAGTATAGTGTAGGGCTGGAAATACTTGTTACATGATATGATGTACTTTTGTGCACACAAAATTGAACCTTCAGAGAGTCAAGTTGACTGAGTTTCAGAGAAACTCCCTGAGGTAGTGATATAAAAAAGAAGGCAACCTGAGATCATGTGTAATACCAACAAGTGTAGATACATGATTGCTGCATGATTGTATATGGATCCTTTTCTTGAGGAATAACCTACGTGTAAAATACATTTCCCTTCTCCATTCTGAAGTAGAATTCAATCAAACGGTTTAGTGTTAAAACAAAGGACTGGTAGCCATAGGCTGAAGTCTCTTGCTGCAATCTCTATGTCAAAGTCAAGTGTGATTTTGGCAGCAAATTTGTAGAGGTTTCAGCATTAGGAAGGTACTCATTCTTGTAGACATCACGGTCTTCAGTCTTAATTCCCGACAGTGTGATAATGATTGTGGTTTTCATGTTGATAACCCTTGTGCCTTGTCTTGTCTCCCTCACAGCAGTGGGAGCTGCAGTCATGGGGCCCAGATTATGTAAGCATTCCTCACGTCTTAAAACAAGACCCTTTTCACAACAACACTCCAAATTCAAACTCTGCACAAGGCCACACAAATTCAGTTAGAATCTTCTTTGGCTCGGAGACACTAAGATAAGTGACTAAATCAACTCGGCATCACGAATGTCAAGTTTTTTATGTTACAGTGGCTTATCCTGTTTCTTTTTCATGTTTGGCAAAAATATTTCTTGATAAAATCAATTTAGCTCCTACACAATATTGTTACCAACCAATACATACCAGCCATTTTGATGGCAAATTTTGAAAAACAACTAGTACTTGAACAGCTGTGGCCTGAGACTGTATCCCAGTTCTAACCCCTGTTGTCTCTCCTGTGTCCCTTCCTGCAGTGAGACCACCGATGGCCATGGGCATGCCGGGACCCGGGGGTCCGATGGGGCCCATGATGGGGGCACCCATGATGATGGGGGCCATGCCACCCAGACCAGCCGGGAAATGAGGGGCTGATAAGGGGGGAGGGAGGGTTAAATGTCATGGGTAACAAGACCAGCACATTGGCAGAATGTACTGCACCTGCGGGAAACCAGTAATGTATTGTGCTTAATACTTCGGCAGAACATCTCATATAAGGTCGTATTCGTGTATATAAGGTTAACATCCTGTCTGTTGTTTCCAAATGTTCTAACGGAAAAAATATTGTCTGCAACAGGCAAAGTTCAGATGCAATGTTGATCAAAAATCCAACGAAAACCGTGAAAATTGGGGGGGTTTGCGCAGGCGCAGTACGTTCTGCCGACGTGTTAGGATTGATCAACTGGAAGGGTTATTATTGAAGGAAGGGAAGTGGCAAAGTAACATATCCCTTACTCTAAGTTCCTTCTGCATCAGAACATTGTGTTGCTTTAACCTGTCAAATGTCATGTTTCATACAACAGATATCATCAGTCTGTGAAACTGGAAGGTTATTTTAATTTAAATAAGGGTAATCACCAAGCAGATGTTAGGAGGAAAAATTTGTTTTTCTCATTGCATGTTTCAGACTGGCCTTTCAACAGACACCTAGAAAAATATCTCAGCAGGCACCCAACATCTGCTTGGAGATGAGCTTGAGAGTAGATGACAGGAAGCGTTGTTTGTATTCCATGTCTGTACTCTTAAGTTTTCTGTAGCACAAGCTCCCAGTCATGTGGCAGATTTGAAATCAGCCTGTTAGAGTCTATGAAAGTTAGGGAGAGGACATGTTGTACTAGTATTTTCCCTCAGCAGTTTTAGGTGTCTTGTCTGCCATAACATTGTGCAAAGGAACTTGTCAAAATCATGTGCTTGTCATTAAAATGTCACAGGGCAAGTGTTCAGGAAGTAAGGCATTTCCTAGCTAAATATTTTGTTACATTTTTTAACATTTTTTTTGCTGTTGATGTATTTTTGTTGATTTCAAGAACAAACATCTCATTCTACAAGCTCCATTTTATTTTGGTACCATTGATAAGGACATATATTGTACTGTTCATTGTAAAGTAAATTAAATTCCACTGTAACCCTGCCAGGTAGTATTGTATTGTCAAAAGCAGACTAGGCTCAAGACTTAGTAATAAATCACACTTTTCATACATTTCTTTGTGGCTGTGGTTCCTTTTTTTACGCACAAGAGCAAAACAAACAATCAGCAGCTTTCTGTGTAACTTCAGTCAGCGACCATTCTCAACTACATAACAATATTAACTTATACATCACTGTAAATCATGCCATAGCAACTACCATTGCCAACTACATGTACCATGATAACTTCTGCCCTTCTTACATTCATTTTTATTTGTAGGTAAATTATCCTTTTATTTTCCTACAATGTAGTTATATTGCTCCTTTATTGAAAATTTTATAACATGTACAGACTCAAGTGAATCTTTTCCATTATGGAATTACATACCAGCAACACAGTAGTGCATTTATTGCAGCATAAGCAGACATTTAGAGCGCTAGTCTACTGTTACACCACCCATCCAGCTACATTCTATGATTCTTATTCAACAGAGGCACTTGGGATAACTCTACAGACAAGTCAACCATGTAATTCTGTTGCTGCTGAATGATGCTTTCTGTGGTCTCCACCAGACTAACACTAACACAGACTGGAAAGTAGCAAAATTTTGCCACATATGAGATTAATTTTCCAATGGAGTTTGGCCACCGTTTGAGTTCTTTGTATGAGGCAAAATGTTACCCATACTGTGTCTCAATCCCCTGGCCAACTAGTCAGCCTATTTTTGCCAAATTCTACTATCCATAACCCCTTAGGGAAAACCTGATAGAGGCTAGCTTTTTGATGGCTTTACTCCTTGCGGCTCAATCCCATGGCCAATTATTCACCCTATTTTTGCCAAATTCTACTGCATGTATCCATAACCCCTAAGGAAAGCCTGGTGGAGGCAAGTTTTTGATGGCTTCACTCCCTGGCACTGTTCCTAGGCTGCACGGTGATCCTGATTCCGTGTTCAGGCTTGAGGAAGCCTGAGAACTTACTCAGCTGCACTGGCACCTGGACAGAGATGGATTGGCAAAGTTTAAAAAAAACATACTGCTTTCCTAATACATTGTAGTTTGTTGTGTACTAATTATTACATGGTCACTGTGAGATGTATAATGCTAAATGGTGGCATCAATGAGTTTAGTCAACTTAATTGTATTATTTGAATAAATAATAAAATGATTACGCAGACCTTACGAATTATAGGTCTTCAAACCTCAAATCTGCCAAGTTGGCAATGATAGCTTAATGCTCAAGGTTATGGGATACATCTGTAGGCTTTTATAATAAATGCATTCACCATTTGACGCCGTAGTTCTACCAGCTTCAATGTCCAGTGACAGGTTGACAATGACAGTAATAACTAAGGGCTACATTAAGATGTTAGACAAAAGTGTAATATACATTTGTAATATAGTATTGTTGCAGGAGTTCCTTAAACCTCCATGTCTGCCACCAGGTTGGAAACACCAGCTGAAGGTTGCATTAATGTGTGGGATTTTATTTAAGCATTGTTATTACAGCAAGAGTTCCACCCACCTCCATGTCAGGTGCCAGTGCGATCCTGTAGTTGCTGAGGATTTTGGCCAGGGCGATCTTAGCCTCCATCATGGCCAGTCTCATGCCGATACAGTTCCTGGGTCCGGCTCCGAACGGCATCCAGTCACACGGGTCACGCTTCTGCCGCTCTTCCTTACTGAACCTGCAGTGGTGACACAAACAGACTGTTAGCACGATATGTCTGTTAGTAGCCTGGAGTGGCCTAGCCTGGCTACATCACACTTCTACATGTAGCATAGCCTCCTGTGCAGGCTCCAGGGTGGGTGGGAATTTTGATACACGACGGTAGGAGGTTTCTGTGAATAAAACCTTCTCTCCTGGCTGGTTGTAGGATGGCCGGCTGTCAAAAGAACACAATCATTAAAAACTCTTCAAAATGCTGTGTAAAAATTCCCACCCGCCCCAGAGCTCCTAGCCTGACTACATTATGCCAGCCCTTCCACTGAAATTAAATACTGTCTGAAACAGTTATGTGATGGTCTGAGGCTGATTTTCCCTTAAACCCCCCTCTAAAACAATGGAAATGCCATTTCAGAAGGTTCAATTTTCTGGGGACCCCACTAGGGAGCTTGCTTCTAGTACTGCACTTCCACTGGTCAAACCTCTAGAGACTTAGAGTTAGGATAATTGGGTAAATTCAAATCCTGTTGATTAATGTATCTTTGCAAGCCAGCAAGTGTTAAGGCCACTCACTGTAGCAAGAAGCTATGCTACATGTACATTTGTGCTAATATTAACCAATCGGTGTCAGACTGGTACCATTATAGTGCCAGAGCTGTGATTACTGGTTTCCATAGTGACAGAGAATCCTATTACAGGTGGTTCCTGCACTTCAGATCTCTCAAATGCACTGTTTTACAATTTGAAAGTGACTGATGTATGTAACCTGGCGGATAGCTGCTACTGGATTTTACCTTTCCGGGATGAACTTGTGAGGTTCGGGGTAGCGCTGTGGGTCGTAGTGTATGGGTAGGACTGGGATGTCCATCAGCATTCCCTTCGGCACAGTCAGCCACTGGATCTTTGTGTCTGCTGTGGCCACACGGGCAAGTCTGGTGGAGAAATATGGTACACATGTACAGTCACAGGGACATGAAAAAGTACATAAGTTAGAATAGTAGTCCTTTTTTAGGTGAAGAAGTTTCTATTGACTAATTATGAAATGTGACTAGCGGTTTTAGCCACAGGATCAACTAGATATGACAAAGACAGCAATGCCTTAGTTTTTAGATGTTGAAGAGGTGGCTGTAGGCAAGACAAAGTACATGTATTGCTAATGATAGATTTCAGAGAATGAATGATAAACCTTTTCTATTTGTTAAGAGTGAAATGCAGCTTGCATTTACAGCTATAGATAGGTTCTACACTACAGTAACTGTTGTACTGTTTCTCTTAGCTTTTTGATGTTGTTGAGACACTGTGTTAAAGCGAGACAAAGTAAGTTCTACATCTTCTAGGTTTAGGAAAGTGAATGCAGAATCTTCTAAACCCTCCTAGTACACATGAAGTTACCTGTTTCCTGGAGGATAGATCCTGAGGTTCTCCATGATGCACATCTCCAGATACTCCAGCTGTTTACATGCCTCATAGTCTACTGTGTCCTGGGGAGGAGGGAGAACATGATATTATGTAGGGCTGGACAATGGAATCACTTTCTTGTGTCATTCTCAACCTATTATATGGAAAATACTTCTCGGCAACCCTTCTACACAAATTTAACAGAGCACTTCAGTATGTGTATTTGTGTGATGCCTGTGTGTGTGTGTGTGTGTGTGTGTGTGTGTGTGTGTGTGTGTGTGTGTGTGTGCATGTATGTGTGTTTGTGTGCATGCATGTGTGTCTGTGTTTAAGCGTGTGTGTCTCTCTTTCTGACAGAAGAATTGAATCCATTTTACCCTGTCCTTCATGACTTGATCCACCTCCTGCACCACCCTGTCCTGCACGTCCGGATGCCTGGCCAGTTGGTACAGGGTAAATGAGATCATGGAGGCGGTGGTCTCGTACCCGGCCAGGATGAGCTGGAACCCGTTACCCAGGACGTCATCCCTGGTCAGCGCTGGAAGACAAGCAGCAGGAATTTCATGATGACTATAGCTGTGTTAATCTCCAAGCAGATCATACGATGGCATCCATTAGCCAGAGGAGTGGTGGCCAATGGATACCACTCCTCTTGCCACCGTATGATCTGCTTGGAGATTAAGGTAAGTAACTTAAATTTTATTTTAAATCTTTTAGAGGCAGGGGGAAAACAACTGTGTAAGAGGGAGATGAAAATATGCTCCAGCAAAAACAAGTTGCAAAGTTAGCAGCAAAAAAATAGTCCAAACGATCGCTTCAAAAATTATACGCCTGCATGTATAATGAAGGGTGGAAAAAAGAAAGAGAGAAAGATGCAGCTTTTATTATTGAACAAAAACATAGAAGAGACAGATACCCTGTTTCTTCCCCCGTGTCCTGCCGCTTGCCGTCCCGCCTTCTCCTCCCTCCTCTTCCTTCATGGTGTGGGCATCCATCATCAACTGCATCATGTCCACACGGCCCTGGGACAACAAGGAGACCAAAAGCATAATTATTATTTTATGTTCACTGGGCCAGGTAGCAGAGATCAACATTTAGCCAAGGAAACTCCACTCCAGAGCTCAACCATGGAGACAAGAAACATCACAGATACATAAATGTTATTGTCATCAGTTATGTTATGTTCACTAGGCCCCAGAGACAAAGGAAATGGCAGCTATGGTTCTATGGACAAAGAAGTGTGTCAATGGCATCAGTACCAAGGACAGATTCACACCAGTTTCAGTACCAAGGACATGGCAAGGTGAATATCTGTATAGGTGGTACAATCACCCATCTTTGTAAAACATGTACACCAACTTCTGCATCTGTATTCTGCCTACCTGCCTAAGTGCCTAAGGGGGTAACCGGCCTTGTGAGAGGTTTGTGCCTAGGATTGTGAGAATATTACTAAGTGCTTATTATAAGTGCCTAAGGGGGTAACCGACCCCTTGCTCCCTCCGTGAGTTGTCTCCATGCATTATGGTCCTTGGCCCTTTCTTGGCATCTGTATCGCCTGTCAGTAAAGCCGGTACAACCGCCCTTCGGCGTAAAGCACCATCTTTGTAGGCATGTGGCATAAAGCTATCTAGTCTGCAGTGGAGTAGGTGGCAACAAATTCCACTTAACAACAGTTTTAGGAAAAAGCGCAGCCTACCTGTCCGCCCGTCTGTCTCTGCTGCATGAGTTGTGTGAAGATGCTGCTGAAGAAGTTGACACAGTCCCGCGGGAGCAGGCTCACCTGTAGACTCTCCATTATAGGCTTCACCAGCTTCGGTAGCAGAACTGGGGAAGAAAGAAAGATTTGTAAACTTTAAAACTAATATAGAAGCTGCAGAACAAATAAATAAATGAGCCCGTCCAGTCACTATCACACAAAGGAAGAGAAAGATCATTTATGTGCATTTATTTGTTTTAGTTGCAGATACAAGTACACAACTCCGACCAGGATCATCGTTGTTTACATGTATATGTTACATTTTGTAATCTGTATGATTTTACCCTGTGCTTTCTTGCCGAAGTGCATGCTGTGGATTGAAAGCAGTTTGGTGATATGAAAAGCTTGATGTCTAAAATTTTAAATTTACATATCGATTTGTGCCTTTCTGGCAAGTCTCCGGTGTCACTGACGAAACAATGAAATGTCTGACTGTCTCCAAAATCACTCCCAGTTAACGTTGTTCAAGTAACTTTTTTTTGCCGTATCTTATTACCTGGATGTCTAACCTTTACCGATGTAAGAAAAGCTATGTTTCTGACTGCTGCTGAACTCACGGTAGATCAGAACAAGCGGGTTCTTCAGGTTGACGCTGAAGGCTTTCTTGGCGTTCACCACGAAGGGATGGTCCGGGGTCTCCTGTGTGTTGATGTCGGTACCGAACCCCACGGCGGCTATAGCGTCCATGGTGAAGGCACTGGAGTGTCTGGGGGAGAACATGGTAATGACTTTGACTTTATCTAGGTACCTGACAGTTAGTTTCAGTTTATTGTTAGCTGTTCTTTCATGTGTGGTCTCATAACAATAAACAATACATAAAATCACATTCGAGAGAGAGGCTTAGGGCTACGAAAAAAGCCCCGAAACTGCATGTCAAGACACAGGTAAGATATGTTATGATGACTTATATGTTTACAAACAGTATTATTATAATCTTTATTCTGTTTTTCTTTAGCCAGGGTGGCCCTCTCAGTGAACTATGAACTGGTTTGGGATGTTAATCTGAAATAATTACTCCTTTATGTCGCAGGCTGCTCCGTTCCTTGTGGTCTCTCCAATGTTATCCACCAGCTGGTCTGCGCACTGGTTTATGATGTCTGTCATCTGGAAAAGTCAAAATAAATGCAATAACATATTGATTAAATTAAAAAATGCATTAGAAAATTCAACAATACTGAAAGTAAGCTCGTACTGATTTATGAATACCAAGTTGCTTTGGTTCACGAGGGTCTGTTTGTCAGTAAGGTAAAGCAAACGAAACCCACCAGTTTGAGTTTGCCCCCGGTGAAGGCAGGACTGAGGGTTGCCCGGACATTTTTCCAGTCGTCTCCTCTCAGGTTCGCCAGGCCTCGGCACACCGGCCGAACTTCCAGCTCTGTAGAACTCGCCTGCACGACAGGCACAGATATCAGCTAAGTAAATAAAACTGTAAGAACAGTAACATTTTCAAAGCAAATACAAGAAGACATAGATAAATACCTTCACATGGTCTAGCCTAACAAACTATTAACAGTCTGTACATTCTTTAAACTCAAACGCATCCATGTGCATGTTTATTGTGACCAATCAACCCCTCCAACTTGAGCTCGAGCTCAGTTTCTTGCTACATAATGTAACCCAACACCACATGGTGCCTGCTACAGCACCAGTTACCATGGTGAAAGCCGTCAGGTCCAGGTCATTGACCTAATATGCATTTGGAGAACTGAGAAGTTCTTACCGATCTGTCGGTGAAGTTGTGGAACTGTTTGATGAAGATTTCCCGCAGAAACTCCCTGTCGGTCACGACAAAGGCTGGTCGCATTCCCCCGAAAACACTGAGAAAGGAAAATATAATATTAATATACATAGGGTAAATGAAAGTCATCGGATATATAAATGATCAAAGCGAGCTGTACTGATGCTAAAAAGTCTGTGTCACGTCCACAAACAATCTAGAGACATTGGACAGTCAAAAGTTGCGCTAAGTTTAGGGATTTATCTTCAAAGCCTTTAAAAGAGAACACAATCTACGTTGGAACCCCCTACCCTCCATACAGCATTGTTTGCAGGTTGGTGATTAAGTAAAATCATGTCAGTCATAAACAGAAGATTGTACTTACCCATAAACTCCTCCAAACTCCTTCACACGTGACGTCTGCAACTCGATGTCCCACAGACCCTGTAGAATGGGAGAGAAAAGCAGTTACTCCAGGTAACGTGAGGTTCCATGAAGTTTCCCTTGCATTGTCTTCATGTATATCTTAAGTTGAAGAGCCTTGGACAGTCCTTACGTTTGATCATTTATATTCCTCCTTCTTTGCATGGAACACATTTTCACACTTTCCAGGCAATTTCATGAAAGGTGACGCCTTTAGTTAATATTCTATTGAGACGAAGTAACTTATGCTTCTGCTCAGGCAACAAAAATAAGCAACTGTATCTGACATATACTACAGTCAATACGAAACTAATGTAAAGAAAGACTTATCAGCAAATCTTACACGCATTAATCAGATATGATTAATAATAACTTTACACTTACATTCTTAAACTCCAGAAAGTTCCCGATCACTGGATAAGGCTTTGGCCCCTCGACTCCCATTTTCTTAAACATTGACAGGGGGTGCACGCAATAGCTGTGGGCGGAGATTAGTTAATATTTCACAGCAGTGTTAGTTTGTGTCACAATATGTGTGACATTATAGTTAGTAGCGTCCAGAGTGTGCAAAAAACTGGGGGTTTTGGGGGGTCTTCATGGTCTTTGGGAGCTTTTATGTGATATTTTCTGATTGCATATAGACAACATAGCCGGCCTGGTTGAATTACCCCCGTTTTTTAGAACTGGGCTTATCAGAAAACAGCCGAAGACCACCAAACCCCAGTTCTATAAGCCAGTGCTACGGAGGCTATATTGTTAGTACTTTATGCCTGCTGTCATTGTTGCAAAAGACGTCCATTGCTATATTACAAGTCTTAAATATTGTACTGTCTAGGGAAAAGTGTAATATGTATTGTATTATAATTGTTATCTATATGCATTGTATTGTTGTTATCCATATGCATTGTATCCTTGTTAACTTAAGTCCACCCTTGACATAAGAAAAGGCACAAACAGATAATATATGAATTGTTTATATGTGAATGACTCCATCAGCTTTTTTCTGACATTATTCCCTTAAATGGTCATGTAGTCTATGTAGGGCTAAAAAGCCCTAAAAGGTCAATCCTGGTCAACTTGCCGGTGTGTTACCATATATGGTAATAACCCGCCAGGTAGTCTCTGCTCTCTCTCCTTTACCTGGCGTAACTCCAAATATGGGCATCGCTAATGTCTGACGGCCTTACCATTACAAACCATGGGTCATTATGATTGTCTTAAAATAGATCTGTTCATGATAGCATAGAAGTGTTACAAAGTGCCTAGGTGATGTTTCGTACGTTTTAGAGAATTCTACTTTACGAGAACGATCCTTGTGCAGTATCCTACATGTGTCTGTGTTTACAAACATGTAATATTATATGCCTGCCTAGATCGGTTATAGTGAATGCCCATTGCAAGTCGGCGTGATGACTTAAGAATCAACAAGATTATTCTAACATTCTTAAACACGTATTTCAGTGCATTCTTTACATACAATTTACGGTGTTGCTTCGCCTGTAGATAAGTAGTAGTTACCTGAGCTGCGAGGCACAGTAGACTATTAAAATTTGACCTGACCCGAAATGTCCATCTGACTTCAACGGTAATGCGTTACGTTACAAGTTTGATATGTCATTGGTAAAAAAAACTCTTAATAAACCTTGCAGTGCCTAGAGGGCCCCTAGACTGCTTCTACGCTGTCGGTAACATATTTAGTTAACGTTACCTTTTAGCAGTTACAATATTTACATCGTGTGTGAGTCGCCGTTGGTTGGCGATTGACTGAACAGCGTACAAAATCAACAGAGTTTAGAACAGTACTATTAAACACAGACTTACATGTAGAACAGCACAGGCAGCAGTATCATCACCAGCCATGACAGCGGGATGGGGAGAAACTCCAGCGCCATCCTCAGGCTTCTCTGCTCGGCCGGTGTAGCTCGGATCAGTTCTCTGCACCGTGTCAGGCTAGTGGGACTCTCACTTCCGGGTTTTTACCCTGGCTATACTGAACGGCTCCGCCCCAAATCAATACTTTATAAGTGTTGTCGCCGTTTCTGGCGTCATGCCAAAACTTGACATCACCTTATAAGGGCAAACCTAGCCCGCCCTGTGCAGGCTTGTTGACCCGCACGTTCACTAAACAAACGTTATTCCGCCATAATTTCACACCGCTGACACCTGCACAGGTAGGTAGCGTGACCTTTGACCGATGACGACACACCCCGTGCTTGTGACCTGAGGTTACCTGTTGTATTTGTTGAAGCAGGCTCATAATTTTGTTCTTTCTCTCTATCTGTTCTGTGTGTGTGTGTCTCTCCCTGTCTCGTTGTCTCTGTCTGTCTCTTTCGCTCTGTCTAGATCTCTCTCTCTCTCTCTCTCCGTCTCTGTCTCTCTGTTTAGATATATCTGTTTCTCCATCTGCCTACATCTTATTTGCATCTGGATAATTTTGTATTATATAATACATCGTAATGTGTGTAGAAGATCCGCTTTCACGCGCCTCATGTATTAATCAATAACCAACAAACAAAAACGCCAGTACACGGAAACACAATTATTACACAATACATATATGTATACAGAGTTTTTATTATTAACCAGTCACCCTTCAGTAGCTAAGACAACGCAACAAAACGGCCGATCTAATCAATCAGCCATAAACTTAGCAACTACCGCTACCTGACAAATAAGTCTGCAATGCGTGGTAACGCGATCTTTACCAGAAGCCCAATTTCATAATGTACAAGGAAAATCTTTACGATTATTAAACGGCGATAGAATAGCGGAAACGGTTATATATACAGTAACGTATTGCTTGCATTTTTTTTTAATTTTACACAGTTAGGTACATTGACTTGAATGAAACGGAAGTACCTGAAAAGCAGGCCAAAATGACCTGAGCTGTAATTACTGGTAAAACTGACTCAGCATGAGGTATCTTGGGTACATCAAAATATGATTTATGCAAAAACTAGTTCAACACATCAGACAGTTGATTATGAACCAAGTACTTCATAGTCACTATGGCAACGATATGCTACAGTATCTTTAATGCAGTTTGCTGACAAACATAATAAAATAATATATCGTATACACAAGAAAGCAAAATACAAAGTATAAACCAGACTCACTGGCACACAACAATCTGTATTACGTATACCAAAGTACGTTCATAGTACTTTTGTAACTACATCAATGAACAAAACAACACTTTTTCGAAACAATCTGCATCACATGCTACTTGACGTGGTTTGATATAAGCAAAACCATATCGTAACCACCACTTGTTATCATTGCAGATATTGTAATCTTCAGTTTGAAAGAAATCTACATCTTGTACAAGGAGGAAGTGCTCTATGTTACAATTGAAAGGGAAGTTTATGTACTTTACATCTCTCTGTATGCTACCACGTGGCCTTGTATTCTGCCGGTGAGGAAGCACCTCGGAGTCCATGTTTCATTTGTGCAGACGCCCACTGGCTTCACTGTAAAATCAAGATTGACAGGAATAACATTATTGGACTCGATTCTGAATCAAAAGCTACAACAAAATCAAACTCCATCTCCCCTAGGTAAAGATTTTAATCCATTTTCAAATACTATAACACTTTACTTGTATTTTGATACTCCAATACTTCTAAAAGACTCTTGCCCATACATCTCCAAGCAGATGTTGGGATAGCAGATCGTAACGTTTTCTGGCTGCCGAGGTTTTAAAACACACATCCAACTTGGCTGCCAGTAAGAATTACGATTTCCCATTCCGATATCTGCTGGAAGATTAATCATGTCACTGCTTTATCCGAGTAGGTTAAAAGCAAATGCCAAAAGCATTTCTGTATCTGTATCTTCGGCGTAACACATCATTTAATGTTGATGACTCCGTTTCCTGGTTTGTCTACATTAGTTCTTACCTGTTTCCGGTGTTCTAGTTTGCAATGCTGAGCTGGTTCATGGCTCCAGTTATTTCAAAGCCATGGTGAACGTTAGTGATATACAGTCCGCAGTTTCTCTTCAGTCGCGCTGATTGCTCTCCCAGTCGGCGGCATCTTAGTTTGAAGTAACTGCTTCTGCATATATACAAAAGACACAATAAAAGTGTATCAAATTTACACCAGACCTTTCAATTGGCCGATATCCATCTCCTTGCCTTAAGTTGGCAAAAGGCATGCGTACATATGAGTCATCGTTAAAAATGCAATAAACGTTCAGTAAGAGATTCTGTCTATGCTGGCAAGTAAAAATCCTCCAGAAATTAAGACCTGAATGTAATATGGTAAACTATTATTGCCACAAAGATTTCTACCAATGGTCAGCTATGTGCAAGCTAAGAATTGGCGCCCACACATCAGAAATTGTTTATAAGTAGCCATGCATGAACTTCCACTAAAGCGTTATGAAAACTCTTGTTTTTCCTGTCTAGTTTTCATCCTTTTTTATTTTGGTATACCCAAATCAAAAAGGCTATTTTTACTCACACAAAAAGCTTACCTTGAAAGCCTTGACCGATCTGCAATTCTGCTTGCTTTGTCCAGGATCTCAGTGCTCTCCACATACAGGCCGAGCAGCTCTTGTTTCATGGAATCTGTTAGACTTATTAGAAGAGAATAGACCTGGTCCAATTTCCACTCTTCATTGGCGAATTTCTTCTCCCACTCTGCATGCTTTTTCTGTGAATTATCTAAAGCTGTTAGAGGGTGGCGTAAGAACTGTATCGTTGTATCGTACATGAAGGCCATGCCAGATTTATAAGGAACAATCATGCACTGTAGGTTTTGATACTTAAATGCATTGAAACATTTAGTAACATTTTGGTAATCCACAGTTACAACTTATGTATTCAGTGGTGGTCAAGCCAAGATAAGATATTTGATCAAAAAGTTGTCCAGAAAATAACTAGAAACATTTGCCAAAATGTTAATCTCTATAACTGATGAATTTTTCTCATTGATTATGTAAAACAGATCCTCATTTGCCTGAATAATATCAGTTGACCATATTCACCAAAATAACGACTTGTCTAATGACAGTCTTATCTTAACAAAGGCGGGTTCTTCTTAGTAAATTACGCAATTTTTATAGTAATTTGCATAAGTTACGTCACTTAACCCCTAATTGCCTATGAAATCCCCACCATTAACCATCATGGATTTATGACATTTAGTTTATCATGAAAATAGTTTTGATGATAATATTTCATATCTTCCAATCTTTCTTTCTTTTTCAGTTACATTATTGACACATTATTGACATTTATTGACACAACAAAAGTACAGCGACTTTCGTAATGACTTTTGCTAAACATACAGACAGATGTCAGATACGTAGGTAAAACAGAATTGATTTTAAATATGACACATGTTCAAACAGTCCATATTTATACGAATTAAATCTTGATTTGCATTATCAGTATATAATTATGCCAAGCAGCTCCTAAGCTACATACATATACCAAAATATCAACTCTTGGGTTATCCTCTTTCGAGCATTAAAAACGTCCCTGTAGTTCCAGAACAAGCTGTCAGATGACGTCACTTCTTTCCGGGCACAAAACCATATCAGTCACTAAAAAAATTGTGGCAAGCATAACATTTCCAGAACACGTAATATGAAAACCGGAAGTGCCACTATCTGCAGTACCAAGGAAAGAAGAGAGAGGGCCCAAAATCTTATCATTGCCAGCTAACAAGAATCCAAGTTCCATCCACGACCTTCGAGTTATGCTGTTCACAGACCTGAAAACATAACCTTCTTGGCTAGGGAACTACGACGTACTTACTGAATCAGATATAGATGCAAGTGCTCCACCCTCCAGAAGAAATGAACCGGCAAGAAACGCGAAACCCACGGGACCAGTTGCCGCTACACCTAGGCATGCCAGAGCGCCTGCACCACCGAGGCATAGTCCTGCTGTTCCCGCTGAATCGTGCTTTTTCTGCATTCCACGCACCCGGCCTGCCGCAGCTTTTCCCTGCGCCGAACGCAGCTTGTCAAAGCCCTTACTGCAAAGGGCTCGCACGGTGCCGCCCTGCAAACAACGGCGTAACTTATTTTCTTTTCAGACAAAATGGGAGTGGAATGAATTAATTTTTTTAATTGCAGATTGCAATTTAAAAGAGCAGATGACCATTGTGAAAGTTGCTTTTTAGGACATATTGAAAACACAAATTAAATTGTTAAGCGTGCTTAGAACCATCCCTTAGCGACTAGTTTCGTGTATTGGCATGCATATGGAATATTTATGTTTGGTTTTGAAATTTTACAGTCAGATGTGTACTTCCTATGTCGCAGGGTATGAAAACATTTTGTAATGTAAGCCCTAGAAATGGTAATTCGACCCTGTAGTGGGACCCTACAGCATATCGGGGCAGAAATAGAATTAATCTTAAACACACCTGTTTTATGCATGCTTCCATTTTTTTGTTGGTGTGCCTCCATTCCTCGAGAATTTCGCCATCCATGCCCTGTAGCTCCTCATCGTCGTCTTGAGCATCAGTGGTGTACTCAATGGTGTCTCCTGCGAATGCCTGGGCACGACGAACTAGTTTCTCGGCCTCGTCCTTGAACTCAATAAACCTAATAACAAAAGAAGAAATATGAATAGGAGGTCTGTAAGTGACAACAAACTTGTCGATTGAGCAATTGAAGATGGTAATACCTGTACTGATCAGTTATAAAGAAACTAGGGGCTAAAGCAGATACCACTTTTCTTCCGAAATCAAAATCTAACTGCCACAGCATGTTAACACTAAACAATTAAAATGGGAGTCCCATAATCGAGCCTGTATTTCTTAGGGGGTGGGGGATAAAAACCAAAACACATATTGGTGGTATCATTATTTTGCGTTGGAGAGGCCAACGCGAAAGCCAAGAAAAAAAACGTGAATACTTCAAGATTTACAGTAAGAAGAACAAAGTAAGCTTACTTGTCTCGGCAACTATAGATGAGGTCCGTCATCTCTTCGTGCATTTTTTCCTCAGACGTCATCGTTTTACTGAAAGTGAAAGTACGTCTTTATAAGATAAAAGCAATTAGCCATCTGGCATGATTTTGCAAATAAAGTATATCAGCAATAAGATTACCGTGCCTGGTGGGCGAAATGGGAGTGCAGCCTTTTTATTAATTGTATAAAGAGAAAAGTGCAGTGCCTCTGCAATCTTATTTTGTCAGAGGAAATAACTTCATATATTCGAAATGATAAAAATAATGATATAGAATGAAGTTCACGGTCGAAACAATACTTAAGCACGGAAGTACATTTACAGTGGCATCAGTGCCTTTACTCTTGCTTTCAACATGCCTCTTATTGTGGTATTGTATAGTATATGAAGTGGCGTCGTGTGGCGTAGTGGATAGAGCGTTCGGCGCTCAACAAAGGAGCCCCGGGTTCGAACCTGGGTCGGAGCACGGGGGCATGTCCGAACATGCGCACCGACGTTGTGCCCTTGGGAAAGGCACTTTACACGTATCCCCCCTCAACTAGAGGGACAAGTCTCCAACGGCAGTTGTCTTCAGCTGGCGGACGAGAGCAGCGCCAGGCGGGCTGGCGTAGTCAAGGCGGAACTTGAGCGTAACCAAGTCACCGGCAGCTCGCTGCAAGCACCCGAACCGGAACCAGCACGTCTCCCTCGATGGATCCGCTGGGGAAGACGGATGCCCAAGTGTGTGGGTCTCAGATTCGCAACCTGTTATCCACCTTAAACAAATCCACGCGAAGGCTACCGTGTCAACTGTGACCCTCACTCAGGTGTAGGGACTGACACGGTCATCATACTCGGAAAGTCTGTATATCTGTACATGAATCTGTATCTGTGCATGACTATGTATCTGTACATGAATCTGTATCTGATTACAAATAAAGATCACGAGTGATTGCCATAGTATAGTATATGGTACGCAATTTTGGCCAGTATGCCGCTATTGATGCATGTCCTCCACTATTGACTTGTCTAATCTCAAATGCAACAGAACGGCGCGGTTCTTGTTGTGGAAACATCAGAGAAGAAGGCTCAAACAGCGTGTTTATTAGGACTCCCCTAATATTTGACTGTGTAAATGAGTAAAGCAAGTGCATGCGTGACTTCATCTGGGTTTACCAGTAAAGAAGCGTCCGTGCCAGGTGTGCATTCCACTGCCACCCATTGCAGGCTTTTGCAGCCAGTATAAACAATGGCAATGACATCATAGTTCTTGTATTGCTTCAAGACCGCATTAACACGATATATTCTTTCATTGAATATCTGGATCACTTATACGCAATTTCTTTCATCAAATGGTTGATTTTGTAATGTGTGTGCTTGCTTGCTTTCGTGGGTGGGAGGGTAACCTGTGAAGCTGCGTATGTACTTGTTTTGCCCTTCCTTCACATTGCAAAAAATAATAAAAAAAGGAGACACTCAGTAAAGAATGGCGTGTTATAATTTCTGTTTTTACTTGATGGACAGGTACATTAGTAAAACGGAGCAAGCTAGAAGCGCGCTGTGTCTTCAGTATAAATTTTAGTGAGTGATAATGTTCAGATGATATTGCCGGCAATCTTCGGAGCATAGATGTGTACGTATTGTTGTTGCCCCAGATGGTACGAGTGTAAAGTTTAGGAATGTAAAGTTAAATAAATATACAAAATCATGTGATTAGATTTATTACAGTAAACATCCTCTGAAACATCTACATACAACAAAGTAAGTCTATCAGACCACACGAGCAGCGCACAAAAGTATTATATGTGTTCTTGTTTGTATGTTCCTTTTTCTGGTTCCATAGTCCATTGGCTTTCTAAGGTGCTGCAGTGGCATCCGGGTTTAATGTATTGAGTTTTAAAGGTACTATGGTCTGGATTTTTTGAGAGGTCAATTGGTCTTTGGGCAGGGGCTACACACACGTTGAAGTTTCGGGCTCGCTGCTTGGTAACGGCACGTGCGCGCTAACATGGGACGTGGCTCAGTTGCTGTATTGTGTTGTGCCAAACACCGTGCCCACGAGCTCACAACTACGACTTCAAGCCTATCCATAGGTCATTAAGTAACCTCTGAAACATCTGCATGCAGCCAACGTTATCATGTATGATGTCCTACATACAATTATCTTGCAACAAAGCAATGCAGAACTCAAGAGCAACGCACAAAGGTTACGCCATCTTTAAGTGTAGAATCACGGAGAGTTTGTGTTCCTGTTGTTATGTTCACAGTCCGCGACTCAACAAGGCAAAGGTAGCGACGGTTGCAAGGAACAAAGGCTTATCATGAACAAAGATAAATCTCTGTCTAGAGGCAGTGAGAGCCAGCAGCAGGCCCTTGTCTTGGGAGGTAAATGGAAGATTTGGATGTTGTTTGCAACGTGTGAAAAATAAATCTTTGTGAGACTGACGGGGCGTGACATACGGCGCGGGTCCGTGCCTGTTATTCTTGGGCTATTACTGGTATCAACTCGAGGAAGGATGTAATCAATAGTCAAATTATGGAATAAAACGTACATAAGTGTTGGCTTACCCTTGAGCTGACCGGAGTATCGAACAACTGACGCTTGGTGCCGTCTCTTCCACGGAAGACTAAGAGAGGAAGGCCGCTCTGCAAAAGTGAAGTTGTCGATCGGGTAAATGCTGACGATTAAAAAAAAGGAACTGGCCTGGGCAGGTTCTCTTTCCTTTAGCCAATGAAGTCCCTCTAGGTGCCTAGTGATTATTGGTGGCGTTTTCGCTCCGTTACGAGCAACCAATCAGCGAATTTGTTGACACAAAGTCCTGTATACCAAGTGCATTTCTGGGAACGAAACCGTTGCTGACGTCTCATCTTGGAAAGCCCACTTCGCTCCTACAAGCTACAGCTATATAAGCAAATATGGACATACAATGGTTATGGTGATAATATTTGTATAAACGTCGGTTCCAAAGTTAATCCCTCGTCAATCCTATAGTGAGCTACCATCCACACTCCTAAACGTATGGCTCTTCAGTAAGTTTAATTAAACATCACAAGTGGACCAAAGATATCGATAAGTCTATAATCGAATGCTGTAGTAAGCCTAAAGAGCTTGGTAAGCCAATGCTTCATTGCCCGGGTATTTTGCTTGCTCCAGCGAAAGCTTTTTGTAAGACATGTATACATCTCAACTTGGAATGGTTGACTTTGCTGGCAGCATACAACAGATGTCACGGAACGATACACATTGGAATTCAAAACCTGCCCAAGCTCTGACTCATTGTTACCATTCTTTATTCTTTCTGAAGCATGTGATCCTTGTGTTTGTCATCTGAACACCGGGAATGGTACTACCATGGCCTGGGGCATCGAAGGCTTTTGTAATTCTGCAGGGTACCATAAACTTGGAAGGTCAACTTTGAAGGATAGAATTTGCGATGTGAGAAAAGTCATGGGAACTACACGCTAATCAGTCATGGCGCATGACGGCTATGAACTTCTCTGACAACCTCAAGTTGTAAATTGTCTATGGCGTGGCCGTGTAAAGTTCTGAGCTGTCACTAATATAAGTACTGGACTGTGTTTACACAATTTCTCGCTTGTTGAGGTTGATCTACACCTCTGGGTGTTTTAACCGCCGGGCGAATATAAGTACTAACAGTAAAATAACACAACCTTGGAACGTATCCAAGCTGTACAATCACTGTGTCAAATAAATCTTGTTCAAAGGGGCTCAAACAGGTTGTGCCACACACACACAATGGTATTGACTTAACTCCAAGTAGATTTATAACTATGGCCCTTGCTGAGTAAAGAGACTCTTTTTTTCACACAACCAAGTCTTTTATTCAGCCGACGTTTCGGTGACTCTGTCACCTTCCTCAGGGCAATTCTGACGGGTTCACAATGTACTTGCCCTGAGCAAGGACATTATACATACAGAAGTCAGGTTGGTAAGACACTGAGTAAAGAGACTCTTTTTACACGACCAAGTGTTTTATTCAGCCGAGGTTTCGGTAACCGTCTGTCACCTTCCTCATGGTACTCTTCTG